CCTATTTAGAGCAAAATATTATCACTTTCTTTCTCTCAATAAATATATTCTGCTCTTCAACTCTGTTGTTCCTAAAATTCCTTCTTGTGTTTTAGAGAACACAAGCTCATAGGAGACATAGAAGGTCAGGAATTTCATTCCACTTTATCACGGTATGGCTGCCTGTATTTCTAACTAACTCAGCTGCCTGTAACTTTAAGAATTGTTTATCAATTTGACTTGGAGTAATTGTAGCAAATAACATATTCTTAATGGATATACAGAAATATATCATTAAATTGAAAAAATGATTATCACAGTGTTTCTAGCTAGCATCAGCCAACATTTTCAACTTTCAAGTTTGTGGGAAAACAAAAATTAAAACAACTCAGAAAATAGCAATCCTATAGGGGACAGAATATCATTCACTGTAGTTGCCATGTTACTGCAGGTATTTCGTAGATCACAAAAGAAACATTGAGCCTATTAAATACCAAGTATCAGTTTCAATAAATGTGCTCATAGCACTGCATCATTGACAACTGTGATTTTTTTTTCCTGTATGAGGGATTGAACTCATGACCTTGTGATCTCCAGGCAGCTCCTTGTATCACTGGGCTCAATCCGCAGCCCCAACAACTTTAGATACTAAATATAACTACTAACAATGTTTAATTTGCCATTGACATATTTAGTATAAATTTTGTAAACCTACATTTTCACAAATGAAATTATTTTCTCTCCTTGCAGTTTAAATTACTTTTTTTTTTTTTTTTTAGGTACCAGGGATCAAAGTTACAATCTAGCACTTTCCAGGCAGGTGATTCTGCCTGCTGAGCTAAATTCCTGGCATGTATTAATGAATATTTCACTTTATCCATTCAAATAGTACTGTGATTTTAGCAAAGGATGTCATTGTAGATAGAAATTGATATAAAATCAGAGAGGAACTGGAACCTCAAAGAGTCCACGCAAAAAACTAAATACAACAATCACTGCTACAGGCACAGCTGAAAAAAGCCAGACCTGAAGATGCAGTGACCAGGTCTACATGCTCCTGAAGAGAAAAACAGTAGCTTAAAATGTAATAAAGTTACTGTCACCTCCTCCTGGAAATTCAGATAGCCATCAATTACCATACTTAATGACCAGATCAACTGGATTATTGTTCCCACAAATGCCTTGGCTCTTTCCACATACCTTTTCTGGCTGACTTGTTCCCCTGATGAATAATATTAGTTAAGCAGCTATAAGCTTATAGATTGATTGTAGTTTGAGACCCACAGTTTACCCACATTGTGATTATCCTGTATAAATGACCCCTGACAATATGACTGTGGCCAAAACACTGAAGACCACTCCTGAAAATTCAGAGCTATTCTCTCTTTTTTTCTAAGACAATTTTTGAACTTCTTTTGGTTTGTGACTTCATATCTCAATGTTGTGAGCCATTAAACATTGCATTTGATATCAAGCAGGGCAGGATTATATTTCTCTTATCTCAATTTAAATATGAAATGTCTGCTAAAGGCATTGTTTCAAAGCCTGAATTTCAAGCTGTTTGCCTGAGTTTAACATTTCCATGAGATTTTAGAAGTCCTCATTCTAGTGAACTGCAAATGTATTGGAGGAAGGAGGTCACTGTTGTGCTGTAGCACAATAGGTGCCATTCCTAAGTCTGTGTTTGTCACTGCCTCCTGAATGCCACTGCATGCCACTACATGACCTTATTTCCTCTGCCAGCCTTATTCAATAATTCCCATTTTACATAAGTCAAATTTCACTCAGCTCTATTTTTGTTTGTTTTCAATAGTCTTTCTGTCTACTTTGTTGTATTATTTTTATTTTCATTTTAGTTTTTTGCTTTAAAGACATAGTCTCACTTTGGAGTTCTGGCCAGCCTTGCACTCACTATGTAGGTTAGGCTGTCCTTGAATACATGGCCATTCTCCTGTTTCAGCTTCTTCATTGCTTGGATAAAGAGGTGGGCATTATAGCACGTTGTGTTTGTCTTTTTTCTCCTCTCTTTTTCACAATTATTCTTTCATTTCAGTGGCACTGTCATTTAATCCTGAGGTTTGATGTGTCAGTAAAGGTTTCTGCAGCTTGAGTTGAGTTAGCCAATATAGGAACCCAATTGAGAAATGTGGAATTTCATAGCTAGTCTCAGGGCCACCTGTATACAGAACCCCCACCCTCATTTCAGAATCTAAACAAGAGGCTCTGAACTGGAAAGTTACACATGTTTTAAAAGATAGAATCACAAAATCTCCTGTTGGAAATCATTTAGCTAGAATCTTATAATAATGGTTGGATGACAACTGTATTCTGCTTCTTTTGTTGAGCAGGTTAATTTTTTTCTTTGGGTACAGCTCATTTTGCTTTCCTCCTGGGACTTCAACACTGAGTGATTTTCCATTTTTCTGGGTGAAATACAGGGCACAAGTTAAATTCAGAGCTCAAGATGGCATCTATGATGCCAAGCTACAACACAGCTAAGTTACAAGCCTCAATATTTTCTAGGGTAAAAACACACATATCTATAATCCCAGCACTCAAGAGGCTGAGGCAGGAGTACTGCTTTGAGGTTAGGGCAATTCTGTTCTCCATATAGGATGCAAATCTAGCTGATATACATAGAGAAAACTTGTCTCAATAAAACAAAACTAAACTAAACAAATAAAACCAAACAAAACAGCTGAATTGAGACTGATTTCTTCAAATCTTAATTCTACATCTTGGGGATTAATTTTTGGAATATACTCATTTTTGAGACAGTAAATTTAATGCTATATTGCAACTCACAGCTAATGTAACAGCCAAATAGGAGCACTGATTCTTATGCTGAGTCACTGCAAGAGTCCCTGTGCACTATCTCTAAAGCAGAGCTCATAGTGAGAGCCTGCAGGACCAGCATCCATAAAGCACAGAGGCAGACAAATATCTCATCAATCACTTTGATGTAAGGCAATGATATCTCTTCAAATCTCAGTTAGACCATTGAGTCCTTTGTTCTTAATATACTTAAGCAGCATTTTGATATTTAAATTTGGTTTCATAGAACAAAACATAAATAACATCAAATATGATACATAAATAATAACTCAAATGTTCATGGAAAACTGCTGTATGTAAAAAATGTATAAACAATGAAACCAGGAACAAGTTTCAAATTAGAGCTTAGTGTCACCAAGTGATCACTCTCCATTCAGATATAAGAAATATATCTTGGGAGGCTGATCCAGGAGAACTTCCTTGAGTTTGGGGCTAGCCTAAGTTACAGAGCTGTCTGAAATAGAGAAACCCTGACTGAGACACCCCACAGACAATGTGAAACTTGAAAAGTTACTGCATAAGACACCTTTGGTTTACTTTAAAAATTATATCTATATAACATAGAAAAATTTCACAATATTCAACATTTTCTGAGGAACAATGTTGATATCATACATAGTATACAGGAAACACTTTCAGAGCTGGGTATTTAGCTCAGCAGCATGAACACCTACCTAGCAAGCTTGAGATCATGAGTTTGATCCCTGTTACAAAAAAAATTCAAATTTCACCTTCATGACACTGGGTCATAATTAGAGATAATTAAAATTAGATCTCAAGTGAAGAACACAGAATTCATGGGTTGACAAGGATGTGGAATACTGATTCTTACCAGAGCTGGTGTTATTCACCTCAAGGAAGAAATAAGCCAACTTTAACTTCATACTTACTCTAAGAACTACCTGACTTTCAGGGAAGACCCTCTCTGTTGTATGTTCTGCTATTGGCACACTGCGTCCTGTCACTTCCACATCCTTTCCATGCTCTTCTGATCCACTCTAAGCAGAAAACCCTTCATGACTAAACTACTGATATCCCTGCACAATTTCAATTTATGGCATCTCCTTTACACCACTTAGCAAAGTCCATTGCAGAGCATTTCCATATTTACACAATGTATATGATCAACCAAGCTATTAAATCACCTCTTAATTCAGAGATGACACCCATATTCCTTTCCATTCAGAAGGATATCACGTGTATATGTTCATGCAAACGACTAAATTTAGGCATTTTTCAAAGTGAATTTAACAGGCAGCCCTTTCTGGAATTTGTCCTTAGCAAACACACTTTACCCTGCCCTTGATGACACATTTATATCTGCTTCATTTTTCTCAAAATTTAAACCTCTATGGCTGTTCTCTCAAACATCATCTATGAGCACATGTGTCACATAAAGTATGTTCAGAAATTCTTTGCATTGTTCTGTATAATACATAGCAGTTCATCCAGTGTTTGGGAAGCCTTCCTCCACTGAGGCACATCACTACACATCTTTGAATTCTCAGAACCTTTGCCTCCACCTTTCATGTGCATGGAAATACGAGAACATAGTATAAATTTAGGTGATCACAAAATACATAACTGCATAAGTTTAAGGAGAGCAGTTGTGGCTATGAGGTCCTGCATCACAGACATTTATAAACTTCTGGCTTCCAGATTTGTTGCTGACAGGAATGAGAGCAGAGATTTAACTTACTACAGCTGCACCCAGCTTGAAACCACATCGGAATCAGGGTCTCCTCATGCCCCTTCCTGGGCCCAGACTGTTGGAGGAGCAAGGGCAGCAGGCGATTTCAAAAATGGCATTGTGGCCTGGTGGTATCCCAGTGGTGACAGCATTCTAGTGATACACAACTGTCCTGGTGCCAGCGAGAGGTAAAAGGGACAGAGAATGACTCACTGCTAGCACTAGAGGACCTCAGGATCTGAGGCTAAGCACACAGGCTTTAGACAGCACAGCTGCTTCTCACCACTTCTTTTTTTCTTTTCTTTTCTTTTTTTTTTTTTTTTTTTTTTTTTTGTCTTTTTTCCTTTTTATCGGTACCGGGGATCAAACTCATGACTGCCTGCTTTTAAGGCACGCGCTTATGCCCCTGAGCTAAACCCCCAGCCCCTTCTCACCACTTCTAACTGGTCTCAACCGGATTCCACCCCATTTCACTGCTCCCATCCTGTAACATCACCATTGCGTAGTTTGGAGGTCTCCCAGGTTCTTTCTAAGAAGTCCTCAGAGAATAGAAGCAAAAAATAGTGGTCTAACAAACATCTAGTACTCCCTTTTGTGCCCTGGCCTTGCAATTGACGCCATGACACCGGAAAAGACCGCCTACCTTGGCCCGCTTGATTGGACAGTTCTTACAGCCGGCGTCTTCATCACTGATTGGCTCCTGCTCTCCTGCCTGCCTTCCCCACCAAGAATAATTACAGAAAAAAAACCCACCCTGTAACTGTGGGTCCCCAATGAAAGATGGTGGAGGCTTCTGGAGCTGGCTGTCTTCTGGAATGTTGACCTCAGCTCCTCTGATGAGTATTTGCACTGAAAGTTTTTACCTCAGTCCTTGTTTTTTCTCCCAAACCCATTTTATTTGAAAGTTAAAAAGTAAAAAAAGTGGTCCCAGGAATTAGCTTACGTGTCTGCCTGGCAAGCTAGAGGTCTTGCATTCCATCCAAGATCTGGCTACCACAAACTGTGCTGCTATAAACATGGGTGCACATATATCACTGTGGTATGATGATTTTTATTCTTTTTGGGAGATACCCTGAAGGAGAATAGCTGAGTTGAGTGGGACCTGTAGACCTAGTTTGTGTGGAATCTCCACACTGATTTCCACAGTGGTTGCTTTACCACCAACAATGGAGAAGGATTCCTTTTCTCCCCACAACCCCTCCAGCATTCTTTATTGCTTGACAGTAGGCATTTTTCTTGACAGTAGGCATTTTTTTTCTGGGGTGAGGTGACATATTAGTGTTATTTAATTTGTAATTGTTAAATGATGAGTGATGCAGAACATTTCGTCACATATTTATTTGCTGTTTCTATTTCTTCATCTGAGAAATGTGTATCTCACCTCAGATGCACATTTTGGGATTAGGCCTTTAAATCTGGGAAGACTGAAATTTTTTTAGTTTTCCGTGCTCTCAATAGTAACACTTTGTCTGAGGAACAGTTGGCAAATATTTTCTCCCACGTTGTGGGATGTCTCTTCACTCTGTTAGTGATTTCTCTTTTTGTTAAAAAGTTTTTCAGTAGGGTGAGATTCTCACTTAATTCTCTTTGATTTTTGCTGTTCAATCCATGTTTTCATCATAAAGTCTTTCCTTACATCAATGAAAGATAATATTCAGAAAGTATAGAGCCAGTTTTTCCAGTACCATTTATTAAAGAGGCTGCTCTTTTTCCAGTGACTCTGTTTGACACCTTTGTCAAAGATAAGATGATTTAGTGTTCTGGGGTTGTTTCTCCATCTTCTAATTTGTTCCTTTGATCTTTGGGTCTGGTTTTGTTTGTTTTGTTTTTTGTCAGTACCACACCTTTTTTTAAAATCACAATACCTTTATATTACAATTTCAAGGCAGGGATTTTGATGAACCCTATCTTTTCTTTGTTGCCCAGGATCACCTTTGCTACTCTAGGTCTCTTCTGGTTCCAGGTGAATTTTAGGATTTATTTTGTGTAATTCTTTGAGATATGCTGTGGGGTTTTGATTGGGATTGCACTGAATCTGTACAATAGCTTTGGAAGTATGGTCATTTTCACTATATTGGATTTCCCTACCCAAGACTATGGGATAGCTCTTCATTTTAGAATATCTTCTTCAATCTCCTTGTTGAGAGTACTGTAGTTTACAGTGTAGAGGTCATTTACATTCTTTGTTAGATTGATTCCTAAGTATTTCATTTTGTTGGATGCTATTGTAAAAGTTATTGTTTCCTTGATTTCTCTTTCCATGAGTTTTTATTCTTGTTTATGAAGTCTATTGATTGTTGAGTGTTGCCTTTCTAACCAGCTATATTACTGAATTTGCTTCTTAAACTAGAAGTCTTTTCGTGGAATTTTTGTGGTCTTCTAAGTAGAGTATCATGTCTTCTGCAAATAATGATAGTTCCTTTCCTATCTTTATTCCTTTTATTTCTTTCTCTTGTCTAATTGCTCCAGCTAGTTTCCAGGACTATATTGAATAAGAGTGGAGGCAGTAGACATCCTTGTTTTTTTCCTGATTTTAGAGTAAAAGCTTTCAGTATGAGGTTGACTGTTGCTTTGTAATAAAAGGCTTTCATCAGATTGAGATAAAGATCATGTCTCCCAAGTTTTGTAGGTTTTTTATTATGAATAGGTAACGGACTTTGTCAAAATCTTTTTCTGCATGTATTGAAATGATCAAATGATTTTTGCTTTTGGATTTGTCAATACGTGTATTATATATATGGTTTTATGTATGTTGAACCACCACTGCTTCCCAGGGAATAATTCCACTTGATCGTGGTGTAAAATCTTCTTGATGATATTCTGCAGTCTGTTGTCCAGTATCTTATTGAGGATTTTTGCTTCAATGTTCACTAGGCAGAATGGTCTGTAATTCTCTTACTTATTTGGATTGTTCTCTGGTTTTGGTATCATGGTAATGCTTGCTTCCAGGAATGAATTGGAAAGTACCATTTCCCATTTGATTTCATTAAATTTTGAGAAGTGGTGGTGTTAGCTCTTCTCTAAATTTCTTATTTATTCCTGCCATTTCATGGCTACCCCTGCTTTCTTTCAAGGATCAGTGGACTCTTTCCATAATGGGCTGCAAATGTTTTCAGGATTCAGGTTCAATCCTCCAGGAATAAAAAAATCCACTGATGTCAGAAAATATTCTGAGAACATGCCAGGGTGGGACACAACAGAACAGAGAGTCAGAAGTCTGTGTTAGAGGCAGCAGACTTCATTTTCATGATTTTCACTCATTTCCACTAATTTTCCACCTAGAAACCCAGCATGTGAACACAAAACGAGTACAGTTACTGTGTAAAGTGAAGACATTACATTTAAATGATAGTAATGGTCTGCAACAGAGTAAAGATGAAATAAAAGCAAGCATCAATTCTCCAAGACAAGCTTGCTATTCATTCAGACTCATAATAATGCTGAATTCTGAATGTGATCATATTGCCCAGCATGGAGGTGACAATTATTGCTGAAATGGAACCAAATTCCTAATCCAATTAAACATTTCCTTCTGATGAGGCAGGGACAGCCGAGGAGTTTACACTCTAAGTTCTCCTTGCCATATAGTTCCCGTGTCACTACTTGGCACTCAGCTCTTCAGGATTTTAATATTCCTAGAAGTCATATATTCCCTAAAGCCTGGTTATCCATTTGTTAACACCTTTTTGGCTTCAGAAATGTGTAGGATATTACTATGATCACTTCTATATTTATATACTGCATCCATGTGTGTTGGAACCCATGAACCAAATCTGGTCCCTGGATCCTTTCTCTCAGGTTCTGAAACTGTTCTCTGGCTCCTTGACCTCATAAAAAAGATACCTTTTCATTTTCACTTTTTTCCAAGGTATTTATGCTTTGGAAACAGTCAAAATAAAACTTCCCTCATGGAAACAATGAGATTAAAGTATTTTGTACCTGTATAAAAGTAAAGAAATAAATATCTAATATAATTCAGCTAGCTGTATGTTCTGAATAATCTTCCAAATGCATCAACTCATTCTTCAACTAATTATGTAACTGAGTTTTTAATCTATGAAAACCCTGACAGTTTTTTAGCGTTTACCTGTTTCAGTTTGACTCCAGCAATTTTTTGGAGACCAAAACCACGTAATTTCCTGTACAATCCATTCTCTGCCAAGCAGGCATAACTGGCATCTGGTGAGGAATTCATGGTTAAAATAAATGAACTGCTAGAAACACCGAGACTCATGTTACATAGTACTTAGCAAGTGGATGGAGGCCTCCTTTATTATCTACCAATTTCACTTATAAGTACTGACTTAGAAAAGTTATGCAGAATAGTCACAATGATGTAAAGAGCTGTATAATCATGGTTTCTGAGAAATCACTATAATACCCCTCAATATGTTAATAAGGTAGCATATGTTGATAAGTTAGCAATATATTTGTTGATAATAACACTTCCATCTACAGGTAAAAAAAATTACATGCAACAAAATTTTCAGGAAACTTACAGTTATCCTATCTGGAAGTTAGTTTTCCGTTGGGGCCTATGCCTAAATATCTAGCCCCCAAAAAAGTGCACAGCAAAGGACCAAAAGAATGAGAAAAGTGGGATTGTCTTGAGGGCAACATGAAGAGTGAAATCTTCTTCAGAACTCATAACTCTGATAACCAGCCAGCCACCTGTCACTAGGCAGCCCATATATAATCAGAACAAGCAAGGATGTGAGTGGACAATGGTAAAAACCTGACCAGGCCCCTGGGAGAGGTTCAAGGAACCCACAGAGCAACAGATGATTCTAATTAAGAAAAACTATCAAAGAAGTCTCCAGGTGGCCTCAGCTTGGCCTATCTTGTTCCTTGCAGTGTCTTCTCATTCTCAGTTCAATCATGCCCAGGAAACACCACAGCCCTGCACATGTATTCATCTTCAACCCTTTCCAACATCTCTCTTTTTTTTTGTTTTTTTGACTCCCAGGATGGGTGGCCACATTAAGGTGGGGAAGCATTGAGGAGAACTCCAATTTAAACTCATCATAGTCCATCAGTTCATAACAGTAGTCATTTACCAGTATAGCCAGCAATTGTCAGAGGATGTTAATGATCCTAGCTTCCCCCACAGCCAAGCTTTTACACTGCACTATATCTTCAGAGGCCAGACTTTTCTGCAGGTCATCCAAGGCCAAGCAATCATGAGACCTTCATTAACTACTGTCTTAGTTATTTTTTACTTCTTTCTGAGACAAAATACCTGAAGCCCAAGTTGAGGAAGGAAACGTTTATTTCTTTTGTTTTTGGAGGTTTCAGTCCACACTCAGTGGGCTCCAACGCAGGTGTGCATGGCTGGGCCGCAGTTCATGGCAGCTGCAAACAGCAAGCAGGAACCAGCAAAAAGCAAGACACACTTTCTTCCTGCCATTATATTACATTCTGGCTCCACCCCTATGTGAGTGTAGCACTAACACCATCAATCCACGTACTACACAATGAACCATCACAAATGCACAATGCAAACTTATGAAACCTGGGGGACACAGGAATAAACCATGACATTCCACTTTGGCCCCCAGGACTCATGTACATCCATTATACAAAAAGCATTTAGTTCACTTCCAAGAGTTGCCAACGTCCTATGTTTCAGCACTG